AAACATAGATCTATGTTTTACAAGTAAAATGGTAAACAAAGACATAGGAGCCAATAAAGAATTCAACAGACCAAAGTGGAACTAATAATAATAAGTAAAAGGGAATAATATCTAAATAAATAAGAAATACAAAAACACCGATCAAAGATTAATACCTATAAACAGCAGAATTATTGATAATTTCAAATTCAAAAAGACATAGAAAAATGGTTGAGGTAACATGATAAATACATTCTCAGCTGTTATAAATATGGGTTTCATATGCAACATGGAACCTATCACGTACGGTAACTGGTGTAGTTTCACTTTGGTCCATACACACGTAACCGAGTCAAACAATGACACCCAGTATCGAATTTACCCTAGCTTTGGCAGGCAGAAGCTTATATGGCCTTAAGATATACATGTATAGGGGGCCTCCAGCCAAGGTGTTAATAGTTCTGACACTGTCATTAGCCTTTTTTGCACGCACTGTACTGTCTTAAACTTCTGTCGTCATTTTCGGTTTAAAACACACTTTCATATTCCTCTAGTCCTGGGGTGGTATGGGGATGGATAGGAGAGGAATAGCTTTGGGCCTCTCCGCATCTAAATCCAACACAGGGCGATTGACAGGTTGTATACACTTTAGTCCGGGAGCTATGGTATAGTAACTAAAAAAGATGGTGCACCGAGTCAAAACCGGTAACTATAACCGAACCGTGACACTGACGTCAGTTTAAAAAATGTCATCAATAGTTTTGAGGTAGCCTACTTATTCCGGTTTGTTTAAAAATGTTTGCTGGGTTCCAATATGGGGTATTTTTATGGAGCAAAAGTGGTTTTTCGTCAAAATTATTTGAATTTAGTCTATAATCGTTTTATACTTTGAAATTTTGTGCTGAACACTTGAAAAATTTGCAATAAATTGTTAGATTTGTTCAAATAAAGTAGTACCCTCATTGGTACCGAAGTCCCATTTCATTGAAATGAAATTGCGCAATACCATACGGAGACATATTATACATTTTCAAACATCTAATGCTGCTTTCTCTCTGCCGAGCTGTTTTACGAATTTCTACCGAATTTGGCAGATTTATTCACATTCATGTTAGTGGGGCCTATAGTAACGTGTCTAGGGCAAATTTAGATATTTTCTACTTCCTCCTCGAAACTGTACAATATATTCCATCAAAATGTGAAAAGCGTGTTGCATTAATGGTGCTTTGTTTTCAAAATGATTAAAATAAAGTTTATTATATGGTATAGTGCCATGCTAAAGGAGCTAAATCTCTAACTCGATCTTATCCATGCTATTCGAAATTAAAAACACGAATTTGAATTCAATATTGGTCCATTTCAATCAATATTGATGCTGTTATCTTGCCTTTAAAATATGGGATCCTAATATCCAAAATTTAGGATACAATGAACATTATTAAAATCAGTTCACAAGTCGTGTACTCTATGGTTTCGGGTGCCATTTCTAATGAACAAAGACAAACATATCCCACAAAACAATGCAGAAGTTATTTTTAGTGGCTGTTCCACAAACGCCAAAGTAAAAATTAAAAAAACGTGTAGAACGGAATTAGTAGACTAAAAGGGGGCCGTTTATTTTGAACTGTTAGCGTAATTCACCGAACATAATTGATCAGAAATTACATTTTTTTTAAATGAATATAAATCACTTTATATACTTTCATATTATATTAATATACTCTTCAACAAAAGTAGGGGATATTCAGAAACAATACAAAACTGCGGAAATGCACTGCTGTTTTTATTAGAGGTAACCAGTGTATGTTACTAACAGGCCAATTGCCTACACATGAACATAAACAGTTCATATGGGCGGCTTATCTGACGGTCCCATTTTCCTCGCAAAGGGATACACTGTCAAAAGTGAAAATGGAGTTTTTGATTTTTGTCTTAATAATGAGTAATTGCTCCACCAATCCTCAGACATTCAGCAATTCGTCATGGCATGCTCCTAATCTACTGTCCAATCGCGATTTGGGGCAATCTGACCCACTCCTCTTGCAGTGCCACGGCCAATTCTTGCAGTGTTGTCGGATGACGTTGACGTCGACGAACACGTCTCCCGATCATGTCCCAGACATGCTGTATAGGGGAAAGGTCAGGACTCATGGCTGGCCAAGGCATATGGACAATATGGTGACGCACGAGGTAGTCATTCACGACACGAGCGCGGTGGGCACGGACATTATCATCTTGAAAGATGAAGCGTCGACCTGCACGTTGAGCAAAGGGCAGAACTATCGGTGCCAGGATGGGGTCACGGTAGTACACACCAGTGACCCTTCCTTGAACAATATGCAAGTCCGTTCTGCCAGTCATGGTGATTCCTCCCCACACCATAACAGACCCACGCCCGAGTCTGTCATGCTGTCTGACGTTAACGCTTGCATGACGCTCATTTACACGCCTCCAAACGCGAGCACGCCTATTAGTGAAATGCAGAGTAAATCTGAACTCATCTGAGAACATTACAAGCACCCATCGCCGATAACCCCAATTTCTACGCTGCCTACACCATTGACGCCTGTTTGCCATGTGCTGGCGAGTTAACGAAGGCACAACACGCGGTCGTTGCGCATGCAAATGGGCTGCGTTTAGACGACCTGAACGAGGTCGATCATCAACATTGTGTGTTTCTTGGTACCGGTTCTACAGTCTGTTGATCACAGGCTGTGACACATTAAGCTCGCTATGTAGAACCCATTTGAAGCATGCCAATAACACGTAGACGTTCTTCATGTTGAAGATGTCTCATTGCAAATGAAACGTAACACACTAAAGCACAGATACGCTAAACAATAAATCTTATGCAAGAACCGTTAGGAAAGCAAACATGGATAGGATAATCCAGCACGAGGCAGTTTTCATCAACCCTTCCCTGAAGTGTCAAATTTGACAATGAACCCCTCCCACGTGTAAGGCGCTATTGCATGTTGCAAGTGCGGCTCAGTGGTTCTGTTGGGGCGACAAGTTCTTCATCTGTGAACATACCCTGAAAGCATGTCAAGTGTCCATGACTATTTATCATATCACAACCTGCATAGATATTTGCATTTCAATATCCCCTACTTTTTTTATTAAGAGTATTTGCTTTAAGACCCACTTTCGTCTATTTTAAGGTTCTAAAGATTAGAGCCAAAAGTAGTAAAAAGGCGAACCTTGAACAGTCTTTTTCATCAGAATACATGAATTTATTTATTTGAAAATTGTAATCTTCAATAGACCAGAATCATCTCATATTCAAAAATTTTCTACTTTTCTACCCATTGAACTTCGACCAAATTTAGTAGGTTTTCTCTTGGGATAGTGTTTATTCCCATTTAATCAAATCAAAATAGTCTGTCCATTTTCGCTTTCCACCACGTAATTCAGGTATGTCACCTGAATGACACTTAATTACACTTTTTTTCAGATTCTTTGCAATCAAACATAGCGTTATATCCTCTAGAGTATAGAGATATGCTTTAAATTGATTATTACACACAGTTATTTAATTTCATATGCTTTTAACCACTGATTAGTGACGGGGAATTTAGTATTGTATCAAAGTTCACAAATAAAATTTGGTATTGATTTTGCAATATTATCTAAAGTCATTAAAAATAAGGCACGTACATAGTAAAGGCGATTAACCATTTTAGACCAAATATAGAACACTAATGGCGTCGCATTAATTAAACCATTCTAATGATGGTATGTTGTATTGATTATATCTTTAATTCAAGCGTTATGTCATGTTAGATGTATTAATATTATTAGACTGTGTTCCAAAAATTCCACAATACAGAGTCTGTACAGTGCCTTACGTACTATTCTTAATCACTCGTCTGCATCTTCCCGAAGTCAAACTAACACAGCTTGTGTATTGCTTTGCCCAAAAATCTGTGTCTTTCGATAATAACAGTCATTCAGAAACGCTCATATGATGACACCCTTGCTGTTGTCTATTTATATTATTCAATGAAATTGTAAGTTCCCTCTCGCACTGTCTGGTTTTGAGCATTTTAAATAGAACTACCACGATTCGGAAACTTCTAAATTTAAATAAAACAACCAATAAGACCTGGACTATGATTGGTCAAATCAGACAGATTATGGTAATTTCACATATCGTATCGTATCGAAATATTAAGAATACCCTGTCCCGGGGGTGCAGATAGGGTTGTTACTGTTCTAAAACATAACGTGATGATGCTGATCAGCTTGTCACTTGACAATCAGCTGATTTGCTATGGGATGTTATGTTATGGTTGTTAACTCTTACTCTTGCTTCCACCCTGCAAGACTTCAAATAGGTTATAAACTTTGCATTGATGTTGTACTGGGAATTTTGACTGATTCAATTTCGTATTCGATATGGGGATCGTTAAAGTGGGTATTGTATATATTATAAACTTTTGTATATTGATGTAGGCCTACTGGTTATTTGAACAGGATGGAGTTCGTATTGGATATTGAGGTAGTTAAAGACTGGGGGTCAGGTCTGGATATTGGTGAGGACTAAGGTAATGTTTGGTTAAAGGTCCCAATAGTACATGTGGGTAGTTTAGAGATTCTTAAAAATTGTAAATAAACACGGTATTTATGCAAATGATACCCAATTATATATCTCTTTTAGGCAAGAATCATCGAGATTCTTTTTGATGGAGTATGGATTAAGCGGCTGACACCAACTCTTTATGCAAATCATTCAATTTCATCTCCGCAGCATTAACAAAGCTGTATGTCGCCACTGGCAGAGTCTGTATTAAATGGCGCTTAGGTGATTGAACCATATGTTGATGGAATTGTAAATCTCAACTAAAAATGCGCACACTTTTATAAGCCGTTAATGTCTAGATATATGTTTTAATGTCGCTTATGTTTTGAAATTGGACATACTTTTATTATGGATTACTTGAATTTTCTTTTATTGTTGTTTCAAGTGCATTTATTCAGGGCCTTGCATCTCTAGTAGAAATTATTTTAAACACCAGATGAAGAGTTCTAAATACTTTATTATACACAATAATTATAACAAAACCAGAGGAGAATAATATGGGACCTTTACAATACATAGTTATTGCACTGATAATTTACCGGTATTTCACTGAAATGAACAACATAAACGGAATGTAAAACTTAAATAAGAAGCAATACATATAAGGATATTATCAACAACATTTTATGTACATTTCATACAAAATACAACATGGATTTAAAGGCATGTACAATATATTAGTTTCGAGAGACATTTCAATGACATCGAAATTACATTTAGAATTATAAGCACAAATCACTAAAAATTGCTTATCACTTTAAATCTGACAATGATTAATTATTAAGTTATCATATTGATAATCGATTATTAAATTAATATATTGATCACCGATTGATAATTTTAAAAATTAAGCGCAAATTTTACTTATTGTTAAGACGCATACGTGTGGGTGTGGTATCCCAACAACAATTTTCTTAATAACAATAAAAATATTTTGTTTTCGTGTTAAAACGAGCTTTTTATTAACTGCAATTGACCTAAAGTACCATAAAATTAAGAACACCTAGAGCTTACATTCAGTTTTATGCTAGACCATTAAGTAAATATTCCTGAACTTTTGCTGTCGAGGAAAATTCTATAAAATTACAATCTGGGGAACAGTTTTAAGTTGGATATATTTACAGATTTCGGCGACAAAGGGTCTCTATAAATTATACCAGAAAACGATCACAAGTAACGGACATTGTTTGGATACATATTTCATTCTAAACTATGAAAATCTATATTTACAATGTTTACATGAATTCAGCTACCATAATGGTGGACAATATTCAATATACTAGTCCGTTTTTCTTTTAGTTTACACATACTATGACAAAATGCGAAAGTATGGGCGTAATATGGACCAGGTACTTAACATGGCTCATCGGTGCCATATTGGAATTTCTCCGTCCTATTAAAAGTCGTTGCAATTATCCAAGGAAAAATCATGCCAAGTTCCATGTCGACCGTACTTGAATTAACGTAGCCTTAGTCTTTTTTAAGCGCTTTGCCCCAAAGAAAAAGAACAATACGATGAGTAGTGGAGCTTGGTGCCTTGTTCCTGTTCTAGAAAGTAGAAAGCTAGGAATGAAGTATCTAAATCCATCGTAGCAGACTGTAGACGCCTTCCTAGTTAAATTCACTTTAATGAAGTACATTTATGTCTACATTAAACGGTGATTTACGTAAATGGTATCAAGTACCGTTGGCATACACCCTTGACACATAAAACAGAAGTAGCAGCCTTTTAAACAGGAAGCAACCCGAGCGATTTATTAATTGTTGTAAAATACTTCTATTCAAGATACATTATGTAAGATTTAGATAAAGTGTTGAAAATTTCAAGCTAATGTTATGAATGTTTAAAATTTTTACAAGAAATATGTGACGAAGATGTGACGACAGACTTTGTTGTATAGACTCAATATCTCAGCTACCAAATGGTAGAGTTATATGGGCTTGTGTGAATAACTGTCTAAATAACAATTTATAATATAGCATTTGAAGCCAGAATAAAGAACTGCAATGAACAGATTTAGCGCTTACATAATGCATCTTCAAGATGTATGGGAATACGGTATTAACATAATTACCAACCATAACAGGTTCTATAAGTTGGCTTTCACATACATCAGAGGTACATAATCACATTTGACATGCCCATGTTATTTCACGTACAATAATTAGGTTATACAATATATTTGTAATGTATTTACGATAATAAAAGTCTCCGACTGGAATACAATAGAATATGCAAATAGAAAATATGACTAACGCTGCGAGTTGTGCTCATTTTTCAAGTCAGAAACTCGTAAATACCGTATATGCTACGGAAATCAAGTATAGCGTTCACATACAAAGCGTAGATTTGTAACCAATTATTTAATTATCATCTTCTGATGAGGAAACAAAAGGAATGGGGTTTCACGTCTAGTCAACACAATACTTCTGTCACTTTCAGACTATTATGTGGTTATTTTTGCCACATACTCTTCATCGAATTCCAGCTGTTAAGTGTGTTTTACATGCACGCTAATGTCTACAAAGATGGGCCTCGTTGTTTCATCCCACACGAACGACTAGGAAACACTTCACTTATATGTCCCACGGGCGCTATCCATGACAAGTGGGTAGTCGGCTTGAAAATTATACTCGGCCCTGGCCTGGAACCGAACTCGGGATATTCAGTGTCCTCACCGCCCGGCCGCTGATAAAGTATGCATTGAAATATATTGGTAACATTATGTACATATGCACATATCCAACTGTATTTACTTTTACATAATATTCTTCACCATTATAAATAAAACAGACCTTGGATCTCTAATCGTAATTCTCATAATCATTATACAGTAATAGATAAATATTTAGGAAATCCAAAACTGTAGAAAACTGTACATTATTGTGATTATGGAAATAAAATGTGACCTTGAACTCGTGTGTCAATTGCATTTAATCTATATTTTACATGGTGAAAAAAAACCAAGCGGTTGCCACGCAAGATACGCCCACATCGAGAGCAGAGAAAATCAATAGGACTCATCCTCTCACGCTGAATACTCTTATGATTTACTCTGTCATACATATGCTGATAAAAATAGCGTCCTTATTGAATGGTTTCAGGGAACTAGCTCAAATCGGGGACACTGAACAATGACCAAATTATTCATTGTTTAATATGTTGATTATAATGTCCACAATCTAACAATATGATTTTTCTTACAGTCAGGCTCCATAATCCATCAAGTTTTACAATCTGATATATGCTAAAATCGAAAGGAACCACGGTCTTTGTGATATAAACATATATTTTATGTTCCATCAAAATCGATTAAATATTGTGACAATCAGGGTCCATAATCCATGAAGCTACGTTCCTATGCATGTCAATGCTGAAAGGGACCAAGATATAAACCTATATTTCAAGTTTCATTAAAACTGGATAAAAATTCTGGCCTAGAGGGCCCACAGCCTTGGGTATTACATACTTTTACACTTTATGGTACGAAGCCGCCATTTTATCGGGCAGTTTCGGTCTAATTTTGACGAAAATCGAACTCAACCTTCATTAGGATGAAACGGTGATATTTTTGAACGGTTTTTAAAATCGGATAAAAATTCTGAGCTCTAGAGGGACCACAAGCTAAAGCTTACGTTCCAATATGGACGAATATTCAAAGGAACCGTGAATTTTGTGTTATAAACATACATGATAAGTGTTATCACAATTGGATAAAAATTGCTACCTCTAGAGTGTCCGCAAGCTAAAACGTTGGGGGGGGGGCGTACAATCAGGGGCTATAATTTATGAAGTTATGGTCCGATACTTGCCAATATCGGAAGCAACCGAGATCGCTGGGAGATAAACCTGTATTCCAAGGTTCGTCAAAATCGGATAAAAGAGTGTCCATAAACTAACGGTCGTCGAATGGACAGAAGCGACGAAAATATGCGTCGACATGAAAATAAAAATAAATAAACCAATAATTTCCTTTTTGGTATTCCAAAACTTCAAGCACTCTTGTGATCAACCATGATGGACATACTTCATAGTTGTTTATTTTACTTTGTGAAAGATCCTCTTTGGTATTGCAAAATGTCAAGTGATCAACCATGTAAATATTTCACAGATGTAATTTGACCTATACTTTACATTGTGAAAGAGTAAAAAACAAACAAATATCCTCTTTGGTATTTCAAAATGTCAAGCACTCTTGTGATCAACCATTGAAATATTTCACCGATGATACAATTTTATATGAAACAGGGATTGTTCACCAATAATTGTCTTAGGCGAGGGGATAAGTGTCCGTGTCTTATATACTTTAATATGAATAATTATATAGCCGAGAATATGCACCCCAGAAATCATACATCGCGACCAGCCATGGCTATCATCAATATCTCACGTTTTGTACTTCTGTCCGAATCACCCTTTTTAGGCGACTGTCGTTTTTCACAACAGAAAACTGTTTTGACTGTCTTTTGTGCCTGACGTCTAAAATTCAAGTTTAAGAAACTGTATATAATAGGATTTATTGCGTTATTGATGAAGAAAAAATTGGAGAAAAATTTACTAGTGACTTCAACCCCAATGCTCCTGTTGTCCTCTAGATTTTTAATTAATGACCTGGTCAGCATGATGGTTATAGATGGAAGGTAGCTAATAACAAAGGCGACGGTTACCGCAAATAACACGACGGTTGTTCGCGTGATGCGGATCCTAGAAGCGTAGTTAGCCAAACTTCCAAACCGTGTTCTCTTTTGTTCTTCGCACATCACTTGTCCGTTCCCGTTTTCTGATGAATCGTCATCAACTTCATCATTGCTGCCACTGGTCACGTACTTGACGCGAATCTTCTTCTTTTCCTGGGGTGTCCCAGGAGGTTTAGATGATATCTGATCACCAATCACCATGCTGCGACGCTGTTTTATCTCCACCCAAATCCTTACATACAGAACCGTTAGAACAAGGAGTGTGGTGACGAACACTACAGATAAAGCTCCATAATACACTCTCTGAAACGTCGACTTCAGGTATTTCTCTTCAATAGAACAATCGTAGCCCCTCACTCCGGGAATGGGAGTTTGTGGGTGTGTGATGCCGAACAAAAGAGCGGTTGGGGTGGAAAATATAAGAGCGAGAACTGCTGCCATGAAGCACAACATCTTGATCTTAAACAAACTGATCACCATTAGTGGTTTACAAATTTTAAAATAACGATCGAATGCTATCTCTACGAGCACAATGGCGGAGCCATATATTGTAAATGTCTCCGTAAACCGAAAGATCTTACAACCAATGGAACTGTAGAACGTGTATGGATATCGTAAATCATAAATTTCTGTGGGCATTCCTACAACACATGCCACAAGGTCAAATATAGCCATGGTCAATATAAAATAGTTTGACGAAGTTTTCTTAAAGCGGCGTCTGTAGACATACACTACCAGAGAGTTGCCCAGTACGCCTATCACCATCAAGAAGGCCACCCATATCATTACCGGTATAAAATGCAGAGCTTTCTCATCATTTAGGCTTTGTAATAATCCGTCTTCTATTGTCGAATTTTCACAGTTAGGAGTGCAGTTATGGGGATTCAAAGTGGTATTCTCCATATTTAATGAAATCTGAAAATAGAAAATAAATTGATATGTTTTTATACGGTTGATGAAAACGCAAGAGTATCATTTCATTTACACTACCTGTATATTGCGGGTCTTTCTTTTGGCCACAAATGTTATATAAATTATTAATTAGACATGTATTAACATAAAAAGATCATAATCAACTCGCTAGATTCTCGCGAATCGAGACTCCGCTATTCTTCCACCTACGGTTCCTCGTTTTTTCGTACAATCTGAACGACTAGACGCTGTTCTTTTTCAGATCCCCCGTTGCACACCATTAACAAGGGGAAACCACTCCGGAAAATTCCAAAGGAACTTTCTCGGCCAACACCAGTGTTTTACGCACTGAACCACGAAAACAGGCTGAAAACATGTACGTAATGTAAACCTTTAAATCACGCATCTGTTTTTTTGTTTGGTTTTTTTTTTGTTTGGTTTTCGTTTTTTTGCTCTTCTGCTTGTCAAGAACTTAAACCCAAGCATAATTACACATACGTAAACCAAATATTGTTATAAAATCCATTGCCAAGCACGTTTAATTAAATGTGCACCCGTAACCTCTATAATTAATGATCGATGGACGACCGTGGCATAGGTAGTTCGTGGTGTCATGACGTCGACTTTTACCATGGCGTGCTTTCTCTAGGTTCATTGAAACGAATTTAATTATCTGACTTGAACTCAAAAGTCGGCGAATTACTTCAGGTATTTTAGAAATAATAGGTTAATATGACGAGAAAGTAGGATTGGTTACAGGGTCGTCATTTTTAATTACCTTATACATTATAAATCATATTATATTTGGAAACCAGAGTTGATATTTTTATTAGGACGCCCTTTAGGTGCCCACATCAGAACGAATAGGAGGTTGTTTATTATAATTATCACAGCTTGGGTACATGTTATGAAGTTCTAAAGTATAAACGTATTGTAAAACCATATGGGGTGAGTGATTAAATAAGATACCCGATCATTATAGGGTTAATGAATGTACACCATGATGACGTAGAGCCTTTTTCAAAGGCTTACAATAAATTAAATTAGATTCCATTACATACATGTATTTAACTTCTATTAATGAAACTAACGATCAAAACCATGCACGACAATGACATCTATATACAGCGTGCGCTATAGCCTATAGATCACAAGACCCGTTATCTATGGACGTTATGGATTTGATCTTGCGTTTCTGCGTGACGGGGGGGGGGGGGGGGCGTTGGTATTGTCGTTTGCCCAACTGCTACCCAACGGCTACAGATATAATACGTGTTAGTCCCGACTGACTTTGTTAGTTTTATGTGAGTTTTTGTAGTCCTCGCACCTTGCCAAAGTGCTGAAAATACGCCAATATAAATATTAATACACGGAATGAAATATTGTTTAAACCAAACATTACTAAGAGTAAGAGATCAATATCACACAAAAATAATATATATTCAACATTTTCTTGAAACAAAGTTATAATGATAAGTGATATAATATATTGTTTATCTTTTGGTGCAAGAACTGCACCTTTGAAGCAATTAAATTTAATAATATTTGGGTTAGAAATTTCGTTTATTTTAAATCATATTAGAACGAATATTTCCCATTTCGACATAAAATAATGTTTTGGCTGAATTATAAAAGCTTTTGTTAATAAAGATCTACCTAGATTATATAATTATTGTTGATAAGTTGTTATGTTTTGGCGTTAACGAAGCTTATTTCCTGACTAAACCCGCAAGCATTTTTATTTTCATTACTTTGTAGGAACATTTACATGCAAATAGATAGTGTAATTACTTAATTTTGACACATACGTTTTACATCCCGTGCTCAAGTTAGTCTAAAATTTGTTACAGTGCCAAGACCATTTCCGTGCACACGTATAAAGTCATCAGCTATGAAACATATCAATTATATATGTGATATCTGGAGATTTCTCAAATATTTGAATGTCGTTAATTGATTCTGAACAGTATCGTACTGCAGATACATTGTAACACAATAATTGAATAATATAATCAGTTTATATATATCTATTAACGCTTGCCATTATACCGCTTTAGATTCAAAATGACTTAATTCCATCTCGTATTTTGTTTAGTTCTTAAATTAATTATAAATATGTTTGCAAACTTATAAATATGTTTACTATGTTTCATTGTAAAACCTATTCTTGTAAACTTACTCATAAATATGTTTTATTATTAAACCTATCCTTGTTAACTTATAAATTATGGTTACTATGTTTCATAGTTAACCTTATTCTTGTAACTTATAAATAACATGTTTACTATATTTCATTGTCAACCTTTTTTTACTACTACACTTTATTTACGTCAGATTTCTACAAGCATATATTAAGTACATTTATATCTTAAATGATAAAATACATTATTCTATATAAATGGTGAGTCGCAGGGTTCCTACTATACACAGATCTAAGTACATAAATCCATCAATGGGGAATCGTTATGGAGGCAATCTGTTAATTCTTAAAAAGATATTTCCATTTATTTGTGTATAATTCTGGAGATATCTCAATCTCCATTTTAGCATGCTCTACTAAAAAGCTTTCATACTTATTAACCTTATTCTTACAAACATATAAATAATATGTTTTGTATTCTTGTAAACTACAAATATGTTAACTATGTTTTATTGCTAACCCTGTTTTTTGTAAACTTCGTAATAAATATGTGTACTATATTTTATTGTTAACTCATTATAAATACATTTATTCTGCTTTGATGAGCCTTCAGTCTGGTAGCCACATGGAAAGAGATAATTTATTATTAAAAGTTCAAAGGACATAACTTAGGTTGAACAAAGCGAAATTAATTAAGGAAACCCAGAATCGTCGGTACAACAAATTATTGTTACAGAGATGATTTTCTTGTTAATTTCATACCTCACGGCATTTTACACATGTATACATGTACATGTATGAGGATATGGGTCTTTGTGAAATTCGTCACTGCTAATATTTAAAGGAGCTAAATCGCTATTTTTTGGAACCTAGAAATTGACACAAATGGGTCACAACGCATATAATAAAGAAATGTGAATGTATATAAACTGATTAACATTCAATCGTTTCTGTTTTTACTGTAATTTATAATCGGTCATGTTCAGCGAAATACGCCAGAAGTCTCAATCGAATGGCAATTTCTAGCGTCTGGTTATTCCAGTCTACACCGATAGTATTTATTGCGCATGCTCTCCAGATAAGAATATTGGTCACCGTTTGACATGGCTTGTGGAATATGTGTAGCCTCGTTCTTCGAGTCTCTTGTTACAAATGGCATTGATACGAACTATGGTACACGATTTGTGTACCGATTGTAAAATTTGTCTTAAATATTGGATATCAAAAGTCCATCTTTTTTTTTTTATGCCGGCATGGAGCGGAGAAGGATCCCCCTTCTCCACCAAACGCCAAAGTAGCCATTCAGAAGCTTATCTCCTCTTCTGTGCGCTAACGTGTATCTGGTGTGGGCTGCTAGATGGGATACATTGCTGACTCTTTTTTTAATTTTTATCCTTTTATTTGTATCCCTTGTGTAGACGTTTGACTGTAAAATGAAGTTGTTATATTTTATAATCGCTACACCATTTTATGGTTTTGGGCGCCATTGTAATAAACAAAGAAAAACATATCCTTCAAGACAATGCGTGAGTAATTAGTAATGATTCATTGACAAACGGCAAATAATAAATTATAATAAAAGAACTTGTAGAATGGACAAAGCAAGCGTAAAGGACTGTTACTCAATTTGGACTGTTCACGTATTTCACTAAACATAATTGTTTAGAAATTACAATATTGTTTTTTAAAAATTTAACATAAATCACTTTACAGACACCCATGTTATATTAACATGTGTTTTTAGACCCATTTCGTCTATTTTAAGGTTCAAAAGAATGTGCTCCATGATAATTTCAGATAGTTTAACGGGTTGAACAGGTTAAATAAATATTCCCGAAGACCATATCTTTAGTTTAAAAGATACACTACAAAGGCACAGCCATGTTGAAAAATATACTCTTCAAAAAAAGTAGGGGATATTTTGAAATAATACAAAACTGCGGAAATGCACTGCTGTTTTTATTAGAAGTAACCAATGTATGTTAATAACAGGCCAATTGCCTACACATGAACATAAACAGTTCATATGGGCGGCTTATCTGACGGTCCCATTTCACTCGCAAAGAGATACACTGTCAAAAGTGAAAAATGGACGTTTTTGATTTTTGTCTTAATAATGATTAAATGCTCCACCAATCCTCAGACATTCAGCAATGCTCCTAATCAATCGTCCAATCACGATTTGGGGCAATCTGACCCACTCCTCTTGTAGTGCCACGGCCAATTCTTGCAGTGTTGTCGGTTGACGTTGACGTCGACGAACACGTCTCCCGATTAAATTAAACGTAACACACTAAAACAAAGATACGCTAAACAGTAAATTTTATGCAAGAACCGATAGGAAAGCAACAATGGATAGGATAAACCAGCAAGCGACAGTTTTCATCAACCCTTCCTTGAAGTGTCAAATTTGACAATGAACCCCTCCCACGTGTATGGCGCTATTGCGTGTCGCACATGCAGCTCAGTGGTTCTGTTGGGGCGATAAGTTCTTCATCTGTGAACATACTCTCAAAGCATTCAAGTGTCCATGACTATTTATCATATCACAACCTGCATAGGTATAATACATTTCAATATCCTCTACTTTTTTGAAGAGTATATAACAAAATCTGTTCTGTAATTTATTATTCGAAATATGATCAGGGAATACAAATTTGCGTTTAATTATTATCATTGTGAATATTTATCAAAATGAAAACGAAAAATTGGACCATTTTCTAACCACGAGATTCTCAAGAGATTATATTATAATGTACTGAGATATCAAAATTAATAGCCATATCTGTATATCTGTATTCTGGAGATTTATATCCCGGTATTTAGCAGCGTATCACAGAATAAAGATAGTGATAGGCAATAC